GACGCGGTTTGAGTCCTAGACCCGGTGGCTTAAAACCCATGCCGGGTACGTCTGCGTGCGTGCCCAAGATCCCGAGAGGAGAATGGAGGAGAAGGGATTGTGGCGTGACCATCCCCCCCGGGGGGCGATTTCTCGCTTTCTGTCTCTATGTCTCTGTCTGTCTGGCGAGCGCACGCGCCCTACAGTGAAAAACCTCCCAAGGAAAAAAAAGAAAAAAGATGTGGGGGGTGAGGCCAGCAGTTACCATAATGGCTATGTCGCTGGACTCCCATGTAGTCGACCGCGGTTCGAGTCCCAGACCCAGTGGCTTAAACTCACACCAGGCACATGTGCGTGTGTGCCCAATATCCTGAGAGGAGAATAGAGGAGAAGAGACTGTGGCGCGGCCATTCCCCCTGGGGGGGGGGAAAAGAAAGAAAAGAAAGAAAAGAAAGAAAAGAAAGAAAAGAAAGAAAAGAAAGAAAAGAAAGAAAAGAAAGAAAAGAAAGAAAAGAAAGAAAAGAAAGAAAAGAAAGAAAAGAAAGAAAAGAAAGAAAAGAAAGAAAAGAAAGAAAAGAAAGAAAAGAAAGAAAAGAAAGAAAAGAAAGAAAAGAAAGAAAGAAAGAAAGAAAGAAAGAAAACATAACAAAGGGAAAAGACTATATTCACAATACTAAGAAAAAGTAAAACATTTTATTTTATTCTTTTTTTGGAGAGGTTTTTTGCTATCAGGCACGTGCGCTCACCAGAAAGACAGAGACAGAGAGATAGAAAGCGAGAAATCACCCCCCAGGTGGGATGGCCACGCTGCAATCCCTTCTCCTCCATTCTCCTCTCAGGATCTTGGGCATGCATGCACACGTGCCCAGCGTGAGTTTAAGCCACCAGGTCTGGGACTTGAACCACGGTCGGCTACATGGGAGTTCAGCAACACAGCCATTACGCTAACTGGTGGTCCCTATATTTTTAAAAAAATGTATTTAAACACCAAACAGGCAGATACGAATAAACATAATAAAACAGGGAAATTCCTATGCTATGATATTAAAAGTGCATACAAAACCACATAGTGGCTAATCTACACATATGCATATATACATGTGCTATACACTTCAGCCAATAGAGCAAAATCTGGAAGCAATGATACCAAAATATTAATAATCATTACCTCCAAATTTTAAGGTAGTAGGTAATTTTAATGTTTTTCTGTGCAGTATATTTTCCAGATTTTTACAGTCATCATATATGATGTTTATGCTAAAAGTTTAGATGTTCTATGGGGTGTTATTTAAACCACAGACCGTCTTTTGAAGTTTAAATAACACATAAAAGTGTCTCTGAATCTGGCCTAAAAGCCTTACACACACTGAATTAAGTCTCTCTGACAGACCAGCAGACCAGAAAAGCGGGACAATAAGCGTTTCAACCATTTTTCAAGCTGAATGTGATTACTGTTCCAGGTGAGGGGGCTTAAGGGGCTTTTTAATTCAGTCTGTGATTACAGTCAGCCCTCCATCTTAATCAGCTTCATTCTCCCATTATGTAAATCACTGCCTCACAGAGAGGTACCCTGGTGGGGACAGAAAGGAGCCCTGCAAGCAGGAACACGCAGGAATAGAATGCGTGGGTAAATTAATGCACTGCTGAGTAACGACATTTAACCTCCCTTTGGCTCGAGGCTCTAGGTGATGTGGCCTGCCTCGCCACCTCAGGAAAGGCACCGACACCAGCTCAGGGGTCCGGGAGCAGGTGGGCCTGCAGACCTCTCCACACACCACTGTCTCAGCACTGGGGCAGGGGCGGGGCCTGGAGGAGCACGCAGGAGGCCAGGTCATATCACAGGAAGTGCCACTAAAACAGCAGGTGCCGCCCAGTGACCACGGCTGCCTAACAGTGGGGGAGCCTACGCAGCCCGAATTCCTGGTTAGGGGTGATGACACCAACCATTTCCCCAACACAGTAGAAGACACTTTCTTTTTCTTTTCTTTTCTTTTTTTTAAGAGAGTTTTGCTATAGAGCACATACACTCATCAGACAGACAGATAGAAAGTGAGAAATCACCCTCTGGAGGGATGGCCATGCTGCAATCCCTTCTCCATTCTCCTCGCGGATTTCGAGCATGCACGCACATACACTTGGTGTGAGTTTTAAGACGCTGGGTCCAGGACTCGAACCACTGTCAACTATGTGGGAGTCCAGCGACGTAACCTTCACATAAGCCGTCGGCTGGTCCCAGTAGAAGACACTTTAAGGCATCACAGTAACATCAAAGCGCTCACCAAAGACCTCACGCTCCAAAGTAACAGGTGTAAGGGGAGGGGAGGCTCTGAATCACAGTAATATCCCTGAAGACTTTCTCTTTCTTCGTTTGCTATAAGGTATGTGCACTCACTGGAGAGAGACAGGAAGAGGAAAAGAGCAAACTCGCCCCCCAGGGAGGATGGCCACAGCGCAATCCCTTCTCTGCGGACTTTGGGCAGGCATGTACACATTCCTGCCATGGTCTTCTTCTTTCCTTACTTTTACTTATTTCTTTTCAGGTGTCTGCCATAGGACGCATGCACTTGCCAGAGACAGAAAAATCGAGTGGAAGTGAGAAATCAATCATCCCCCCAGGGGAATGACTACACCACAATCCCTTTTCCTCTAAGGATTTGGGGTATGCATGCACATACGCCCGGTACGATTTTCAAGCCACCAGGTCTGGGACTTGAACCACACAGCCAGACATGAGGGATCCAGCACCTTAACCTTCATGCCACCTGCTGGTCTGAAGAGTCTTATTATTTTATAATCAGATTCTGCTAAAAAACTCGAAACACTCTTTTCAATATACTTGGCTCCTGCCTGAGGGCAAAGAGAGAGGCCCGCGAGAGGAAGGGCTGTGGATGGAGAAAGGACCGACAGATAAAGCAGGGGTCAGAACGATCCTGTGACTCCTCTGGAGAAGGGCGGCCGAGCTGCTCTGTGCTCCTTCTCTCAGGGGAGCCGAAGCCCTGTGCTCCGGCTATGGTGCACCCCTGGTTCTAAAAGCCCCCCGGCCCTCTGGCTGACACTCAGGTTACCACTCGTCTCCGCCTGAGCCAGTCAGATGACGAATCAGCCTGATTAATATCGCCAGCAGCAGACTGTGCCTCTGTCTAGGACTTCCGCGTGCCCTGCAGGGTGAGCGCAAAGCCTGTCCCCCCGTAAGGCGCTCCCTGCATACTTAACAGACCAAGTTCTTGTATTAAGTCATGTGAATCGAGCGGCAAGATAGGGAGAAACCTACAGAATCCTATATCTAATTAGCTACTCTACTTTTTAAATGATTTTTTTTTTTGAGAAAGCGATTTTTGCTATAAGGCATGTGCGCTCACCAGAGAGACAGAGACAGAAAGAGACAGAAAGCAATAAATCACCCCCCAGGGGGGATGGCCATGTCACAGTCCCTTCTCCTTCATTCTCCTCTCAGGATTTTGGGCATGCACACACACACACACAGCTGGTGTGAATTTTAAGCCGCTGGGCCCAGGACTTGAACGGTGGTCGACTACAAGGGTGTCCAGTGATGGGACCATTCCGCCATCTGCTGGTTCCACACTTCTTGAGTGATTTTAATGCAGTCTGTTAGTGCATCTTTTAAGATTGATGCATCTAATCCAGAGTTGAAGACCACATTGGATTTCCTCCAAACTAGACCTTTAAGAAATTCTATATGGTTTTTGGACTGTGATTTAAAAACAACAACAGCAAAACAAACTTCCTTCCTTACGAGTTAAAGCACATTCCAGAATCCAGTTTTCATTTCGATGAATGGTGACACGCCGCGTGAAAGGTGGCAGAGGGGAGTGACAGGCTTGCTCTGTCTAGGAGAGCCTGGTGTCTGGATGGGCAGTTTGTGGTCTCAGCAGTCTGCCATCACCTGGCAGGTGTCTGCGGAGTCCTGACTACATGGTTCTCTGTCAACTCCCAGGTTGCAGACACCCAGGCTGCTCCCCGCCCGGGATCCAGAAGTACTGATTCACTTTCTTGTGTGCATTTTAACAGCAAGAAAGGTAATGCAACTCCATCCCAGGCTTCTGCCTGCATAAGTTAGTGTCAGGGACAGGAGGGACTCGGCCCCTAACCTAGGGTTAAGGGAGATGGATCCCATGTGGCCAACCACAGTTCAAAAAGCACACAGGGCACGAGTGCATGCACACCCCAAATCCCAAGGAGGGGACTGCACGTGACCACACCCCTAGGGGCTGTCTCCCTCTGCCTCTCCGTCTCTTTCCAGACAATGTGTGCACCCTCTGGCGATGAATAAACAGAGAGAGACAGAGGGTGGCTTCTGTCATGTCACCCTCTCACTTGCTTACTCCATAAATATGAATAATGGAAATAGCACTTCAAGGGAGCCTTGTTCTCAGAGGTAGATCAAAAGAAAGCTTTTGCATCCCTGCCTCCCTTTAAGCAGCTCCCTAAAAGCTACCCGTTGAGGCGTGGAAGCACAGCCAGGCTCTGGCAGGGGCGTGCCCGTGACCCCATGTTCCCGGAGGCCACTGCCAAGGTGCAGAGAGGTCAGCCTTCTGTACCCTGGCGTCACCTTCTCCCTCAAGAGCACCCAGAATTTCCACCTGGTGTGTCTGTCATGCACAACCTGGGGAAGCCGGAAGTGGAACCCTCAGTGTCTAATCTGCTGTAAAGCCAAACTGGAACTCATGTTTGTGGCCCGGAATGCAGGCTCCGCCCCTCTGATGACATGAACCCTACCTACGCAGGCACACGGAGAAGCAGATCGCACCAACCATGAATGGCGCCTCCGATTCCCGCCTGTCCCCGCACGGCTTGGATTTCCTTGGCTAAAGCTCCAGTACGGTCTCGTCCACTCCCCTCACCTCCCTGTGCCTCTCCAGTAACGCACATGAGCTAGGTAACGTGTTCCATGCGGCTGCAGGCAAAGAGAACCCAGCAGTGTAATTCTGCAACGTCTCTGACGTCTCCAGCGAGCAGACAAGACTCCCCTTCTCAAGTGAGCTAAAGTCCACAAAACTTACGTCTTTTCCCAGTACTCTGAGTTCAAACTGAGTCTCCTTGAAGTGAACCTTGGTAATCCGAGGCCTGAAACGAAGCAAATGACATGGTGGTCATTGTTTTTAAGAACACGCATTTCGGAAACCCAAAGAAGTGTCGGGTAGGAAAACGGCAGCTGCAGAGTCTGGGTGTGGCTGGGCTCTGGGCCTCCCACAGAAAGGGCCCTTCCGGTTATCGCTCCTTTCTCCACTAGAGGCCGAGACAAGCCTGGAGTCCGGGGCCAGGTAGGCCGGCCTCCCAGACGCAGGCTCACCCACGTCCCCCTCCCTCCAGTCCTTCCCCGTTCAGAGCTAAAACTCAAGTGGGCCTGGGTCCACAGCCCACCAGAGAAACCCGGCCACACACAGCTCGCAGAGAAGGGCCCAGAAGCTGACAGTCACGAGAACACACTCAAAGTTCATGGAACATGCAAATTATGAAAAAACTACGGAGTTCAAACATCTGGCACCAAAATAAACTCATTGTTTAACTGTATTTTCCATGAACATTGGGAACCCCCCTCACAGGCTGAGAGGCATCGGGTAGGAGGAGACTCACACCCAACTCCACTCATCTGTTCGTGACCCTCCGCCTTCTCTTCTGCAGCCTTTCCCTGACACACGCGTCCCGTCAGCCCACCACATACGGTCTCGAACCTAACACCGCCTCCGCTCTTGAGCGGTACCTACCGTCAGCCCACCACGCACGGTCTCGAACCTAACACCACCTCCGCTCTCGAGCGGTACCTACCGTCAGCCCACCACGCACGGTCTCGAACCTAACACCGCCTCCGCTCTCGAGCGGTACCTACCAGAAGTACTTGCCCACTTGCTTTTTATTCTTGTAGACAACGACACCAACCGGAGTTAGTCCTAAGAAATACTCCGACTTGTTCTCCCCCTGAAAGACAAGCACAGGCCTGTCAGCACACCCGCTCACAGGGGAGCTCTCCGTCGAGGTAAGCTGGCCGTGCGGGTTAATCTGCGTTAGTGTGGACTTAGTCCTGAGACACGGCCCAGGAAGCTGGCCTCGCTACGACAGCTACCGTGCCACTCCTGGTTTGGAAGGTCTGAAGAAATCACTCCTTAGTGTTAATCTGTGCTTCTAACTTCAGTTCGTTACGAAACAAAGCAAAACAAAACCTGAACTAACAATGAGGCCTTTCACGGACTGCCCGGTGCGGCTTAGTGGTGTTCACCCTCAGCTGCACATTAACTAGACTCGCCCATGCAGCTTAAAACACTACACCTGGGTCCACTGGCACCAGCTAAATAACTGCTAATGAAGGGGCCGAAGCACCAGGGACGCATAAAACCCCAGGGACGCTCCGGGTGGCCGAGGACGGAGAGCCACCGGCCCACCTCACCACCACCACCCTCTCCAGAAAGTCCAGGCAGCCACCAGCAGGTCTCTCTTACCTTCCCTCCTCCCTTCACTTGGAACTTTAAGACTTCTGAAAATTTCATGGCATAATCTCTCTGGTAAAGACCAGAAAATCTTTATTTCCAGGCAATGATAAATGCTAATTAAGAAAATGGGATCTTGGGGCCACCATGTAGCCTGATGGATAAGAGAGCCAGATCCCACATGGCTGACCACAGTTCAAATCCCAGCCCTGTCAGTTCGTAAAACATGCCAGGTGCATGTGAGTGCATGCCCCAAGTCCTGCCAGCATGGGGAAATGGAGGAGAACGGCTGTAGTTCGCCCACGCTCCCTGGAGGGGGCAGTGCTTTCACTTGCCTCTCTGTCGCAAGCATGTGTGCCCTCTGACATGACAAAGAAAGAGGAGGAAGAGGAAGGGAGGAGGGAGGAGGAAGAGGAAGGAGGAGGGAGGAGAAGAGGAAGGGAGGAGGGAGGAGAAGAGGAAGGGAAGAGGGAGGAGGAAGAGGAAGAGGAATGGAGGAGGGAGGAGGAAGAGGAAGGGAAGAGGGAGGAGGAAGAGGAAGGGAGGAGGAAGAGGAAGGGAAGAGGGAGGAGGAAGAGGAAGGGAAGAGGGAGGGAGGAGAAAGAGGGAGGGGAAGAGGGAGGAGGAAGAGGAAGGGAAGAGGGAGGAGGAAGAGGAAGGGAAGAGGGAGGAGGAAGAGGAAGGGAAGAGGGAGGAGGAAGAGGAAGGGAAGAGGGAGGAGGAAGAGGAAGGGAAGAGGGAGGAGGAAGAGGAAGGGAAGAGGGAGGAGGAAGAGGAAGGGAAGAGGGAGGAGGAAGAGGAAGGGAAGAGGGAGGGAGGAGGAAGAGGAAGGGAGGAGGGAGGAGGAAGAGGAAGGGAAGAGGAAGAGGAAGGGAGGAGGAAGAGGAATGGAGGAGGGAGAGGAAGGGAGGGGAGAGGAGGAAGAGGAAGGGAAGAGGGAGGGAGGAGGAAGAGGAAGGGAGGAGGGAGGAGGAAGAGGAAGGGAAGAGGAAGAGGAAGGGAGGAGGAAGAGGAATGGAGGAGGGAGGAGGAAGAGGAGGGGAGGAGGGAGGAGGAAGTTGAAGGAAGGAGGGAGAAGGGAAGCGGGAGGAAGGAGGAGGGAGGAGGGAGAGAAAGGGAGGAAGGGGAAGGGAGGAGGGAGAAGAGAGGAGGGAGGAGGAAGAAAGGAGGAGAGAGAGAAAGGGAGGAGGAAGGAGGAAGAGGAAGGGAGGAGGAAGAGGAAGGGAGGAGGGGGAGGAAGAGGAGGAAGAAGAGGAAGGGAGGAAGAAGAGGAAGGGAGGAAGAAGAGGAAGGGGGAGGGGACAGAGGGAGAGAGGGGGGAGCAGAAGGAAATGGGGTCCTGAAATGAAAAAGTGTGAGCCTGTCCAGGACACGCACAGACGTGAGTGTTAGTGTTTCTACTCTACGTTAAATAGTAACCTACAAAGAAATGTGTACCAATAACATAAGACAGTAAGTTCTGGAAGAATATCAGCTGTTGCCCATTTTCAGTTCTAAAACATCAATCTTAAAGGCACGTATGGAAGATTCTAACAAATACAGCTCACTTGCTGTAAATTCCCATAATGATGAAAGTGCTTGTGGATTAGGGTAAATATTGCACAAATGCAAAATATTCTCACTTCATAAATTTCCTATAGAATTAAAGAAAGAAACGCTGAAAAGCTAACAAGATTAATGTGGCTAGAAGGGGAAAAAAAATCCACAAAGTTTTACAAATATTCTTAAAGGGTATTTTTTTTAAATTATTTTATTTAATTTTGTTCATCATTATTTTATTTTTAATTTTACCAGAGAGAGAGAGGAAAAGTGACTGGGACTTGAACTACAGTCAGCCACGCAGGAGTCCAGTACCTTAAGCACGTACCACCTACCGGCCCCTTAAAGGGCATTTCTTTAAAGCATTTAGTGACCTAATGACACTGAAATCGAGATGTCAGGACATTACTCTATACTGTCCCCCACTTTGTAGCTCTGATTGCCACACGGACGCAAGCCCATGGATGCATCTAACTTTAAAAGTGACACGTGAGGACGGCTAGCAGGCGACATGGTGATTAAGGCTCTGGAGCCACATGCCCAGTTGGTCTGAATATCAGATCCAGATGGCAAAAACACGCCGGGCATTTGTGAGTGCATGCCCCAAAGCCCAGCAGAGAGTGGAGAAGGGCTTCTGGTGCGGCCATCCTCCCACCTTGGGATGGAGGGGTGGGAGGTGATTTATCACGCTCCCTCTGTTTCTCTCCAGCTCTGTCCAGCACATGCCCTATGGCAAAAACGAAAACCCTGATGAGCAAGAGACATGCTGCAAAATAAATGCACGATAAGTTATTTGCATTAAGGGAAGTTTTAAAAATTGAGGTCCATGATCTAAGTGACAAAAATTCCATGTGAGTGTATACATACATCCAGATATATGTATGCACGTTATACGTACACACATGCATATACAGAGAAAGAAAATGTGTGTATATTATATACACTATAGTGCACTGTATGTAATATGTATTATATGTAATGTACTATAATAGACTTTATATTTAATATGCTATAATATATATCATATATAAAAATGTATCCTCTAGCATTTCCCAAAAGGCATAAAGTACCAGGCTCATGTTTCCAAGTAACCCAGCGTGACCACTGCTAACTGCACCCCTCAGAAACCCCAAGGCAGGCTCGTCTGGCGCAGTGGCTCGCAGGCGTGGCCTGGCCCCGGCCCGGCCGCCCCGTGCAGACTCAGCACATCTGCTCACTGCCTGTTGTCTGGCAAGCTCCCTTCACCATGAAACCTGGGGCGCTCCTGTCAACGCAGGGACGCCCATATGAGCGGCTGGCCTCACGCTGGCAGACCTGCCGGAGCAACGCACGACACCCACAGTCGCGCCTGGACTGCTGCCGATGCCTGCCCCACCTGGGAGTGAGTGCATCGACATTTTTCAGCCATGAATCTATTTTTGGAAACTCCTTCTGTTTTCTATCGAATACGATCAATTATAGACCAATTTTAAATTGTTCTGACGTTCAGCTAAGCCCTTCAGAGCTGTTCTGCAGATTGTGTTTTTGGGCCCAGTTAATTGTTTTCTACACATGGAAATATAATCACAGACTTTTATGCGAAACTCATTAGGGTTTAATCCACCCAAAAGCTGCTCTGTGTTTGAAAACCACAGATGAAAAAGTATTACCTGCTTGCTAAACAACAGGACTGCGGCAGTCCGCTGGGAGTGCCAGTGACTTTTTAAGAAAAATGTCATCAGCTTACAATATTGTGTGCTAATTAAATGTTACTCACGTAGACAGGATGGAGGTCCACGCCATACATCTCCAGGGACCTGGCAGTCCTCAAGTAATTCAGCTCGGCCTCAGCGGGAGCTTGACCCCTTTACGGGGGAGGGTGGGGGGGAGGGAGAGAGGGAGACCTTTACTGAGAGCAACTGCACTTACAGGAACTAGAAACCAGCTTCATCATGTTCACTGCAAAATTAAAGCATCTTACAGCAATGCAAACATAAATCTTTGTGTTTCAAGGAGCCCTTTGCTTTCTTGGTGGCAAAATGTTATACTCCGAGATGATACTTCAATTACACTGCTTTCATTGGCCAAATCCATTCTATTCATTAGAGCCTACCCCGATATCCCAGCACATATTAAAGTTTCCACGTCTCAGAACCCCCAAGGAGGTTACTAAGGATATAAACGCTCAAGCTAAAAATGTCCCCTCCAGGAGTGATGGCCTGTCTCTGGGCACCACCTCCTCTCCAGTAGCAGCTGAGGAGCTGGCCCAGGGGTGGGCACAAGGAGAGGCACGGTCCCCACTGCCCCCCAGGCCACAGCGATGGCCCCTGAGCACGTCTCCTTCCAGAATGCTCTAGTGGGCTCATAGAAATTGTCCTAGTGCTTGTCATTCTCTTAGCAGAGAGTCCAGAAGTCTTCCCAAACTCTGCTGGTGCCAGAACAGCAGCAAAAGCAGCACTGACTCCTGACGGAGCGGCCCCTGCCGCGGGTCTCCGTGGTGGGGCATGGTAGGGTGGGTTTTCATGGGGAGGGTAAGGAGCCACGAATATTTTAGATGAAGAAGCCTCCTGTTGCAGCCTTGGTGTACTGGAAGATGCCGCAATATCTGGCTACTAAGGTCCTCTAAAACGCTCATCGCCTTAGACCAGGAAGCCACCAAACCTCGGGGGAGCTCTGTCCTTAAACAAACCACGCTCCAGCACCATCAGGTGGAGCGGGTCTGAGGCCGCCACCCAGAGCGCCTTGATCACTTCCCAAAATAATTCTAGGACTCCGAGGAGAATCAGCGTTCAAACGTGCCAAACACACTGCCCTTCCTCATGTTCTAACAAGCACCCTCTCCGCATCCACTTCAGCAAAACCTCCAGATGAAGGACCCTGATCCGACCAGAGAGCTTCCAGCCCTTGCGAAGGGAGGCTCTCTGATCGTGGTCCAACGCTGGCGTCTGCCTCTGCTCACGCATGCAGATCCTTTAAGCAAACATTTTTGTTGACAGATTAATTCTACATTTTTTTCTGAACTATAATAGATCTGAAACCAAGCATATTCAAGTGGGAATGTAACATAAGAGGCAATAAAGCCAAGTTAATCAGTATAGAGGATTTAACCAAAACAACTATAATTAAATTATAACTTCAGTGCCCCGGGCTACTCACTGGAAAGCCTGCTAGGGGAGCCAGCCTACTCCCTGAAGTGCCTGAGGTGCCAACTTCACGCCCCTGGCGGCTCCAGCCCGGTCCACCATCATGTCCAGATTTGCTGCTACAGTCTGGACAGGAAGTTGCTCCTAACAACTCAGGACAGAGCAAAACCAGGGCGCAGGAAAGGCACTTGGGCTCCAAAACTACACTGGGTTGTCGGAAAAGTCACGACAGATTGTTTATGTTTTCTTTGCAAAACCATGTCCCGGGACCAGCAGTTAGCATAATGGCTATGTCGCTGGACTCCCATGTAGCCAACCACAGTTCGAGTCCCAGACCCGGTGGCTTAAACTCACGCTGGGCTTGTGTGCGTGCATGCCCAGGATCTCAAGAGGAAAACGGAGGAGAAGGGATTGTGGCGTGGCCATCCCCCTTGGGGATTTCTCGCTATCTATCTTTCTGTCTCTCTGTCTCTCTCTCTTACTGGCGAGTGCATGCGTCCTATAGCAAAAACCTCTTAAAAAAAATAAAACACGTCCTGACTTTTCCAACGACCCAACATCTACAGCGATACAGAAATCCACAGCCATGTTGGTCTAGGAACGTTAATGTTTTTCATTGGTACAGGGGCAACACCCTGTAATAACTCCGTAAGGTCTTATTTAATAAATCAACTAAATAACGAAAAACCTTCATAAGACACTGGTGACAAAAAGAAGACTGCAAGATACAGTATGGGCCCAATGACTCCACTTACACAACGCTTTCTATACATAAATATATAGAAAATAACATTTTCCTGTGGGAAATCATGCACATAAAGAGGCCTGAAAAGCCACTCAGGAAGACTAAGCGCCTACAGTGTTGGGGTTCACTTTCTCCTTTATACCTTTAAAACTGGCAGAATTTTCAGCGAAGATTTTAGTGGAGTGAAAAACGATATGAGAAAAAGTAAAGGGCCAGCAGATGGCATGGTGGTTAAGGTGCTGGGCTCCCACGAGTCCCAGACCCAGTGGCTTGAAAAATCACACCAGCTGTGTGTATGTGTGTGCCCCAAATCCCCAAAGGAAAATGGAGAAGGGACTACGGTGTGGTCATCCTTCTGGGGCTATTTGTCACCTTCGCTCTCTGTCTTTCCCTTTCTGGTGAGCACGAGAACCCTCTGGCAAAAACCTAAGAAGAAAAAGCTAAACTGTTCAAGGCACCGATGAAGTTTTCATCCTGGACTCTTCTTATGACGGCATGAGGTGAGGGCCGACAGGCCACACAGACGTGATTCTTACATGAGAGTCTTGTGGATCCTCTCGATGGCCTCCTCAAGCTCCTCCTTCTGATCGGGAACGAAGCGGTACTCGGACACGTAGCCGGTGGTGTGCTTGTACGGGTCATAATCGCCCAGCTCCGCTGAGGGAGAGAGACGGTAACTTTGTTCTGTTTCAGGACGACATTCATAAGCGTGTAGGAATAAAATGTTTCCTTTGTGCTTAACCATTTTTCTTCAGATGCCTTATTAGTAGATGTATATGTAAGATGACCTAATTTTAGGGGAGCAACCCTGAGGAGCACCTATGGGTGTCACATACAGCGTACATATATTCTGCAGTTTGCTTTTCCAGAGACTAAAACTATAACCACTTTTATTTCAATTATCCTAATCGGTTTATGTAAAATGTTGTAAGAAAAAATTTAGAGTCTATATATTAGCAATGCTAAAGGTGAGGAAAACCACAGCCTCAAAAGCTCCTCTTCAAAGACACCAAGAAATAGGACGTGTGTCCAAAACATCCTTGCCCCAGTGATGGTCAAGGAAGCAGCAAAACAAACCCCGAAAGCTATCTCATAAAAAATCTCTTCCTTACGGTAATCTGCTTCAAAGCCCCAATCTACTTGGTCCATGTCACGTGCCTCCTAGGGCACACTTTGTGGGTACCTTCACCCCGCAAGCTCCAGGGCAGACACAGTGCTCTCTCGCCCCATCCTGGACTCCAAGAAGGTGCTCAACAGTTACTAGTGCAAACGGGCCCTGCCTTGGTCTGGCAGACGACAGTGCGGCCTGGAGCTGCTCCATCCGGCCACCGACCCGATGCCAAGGGCCGAGGGCCACCATGTTCTGAACCTGGCGTCCACTCTGGCCATGGGCCATCTTCACGACAGCTGCCAGAAGCAGACCAATCTTTGAGACGCACTGGCTTGGCTGGGGACAGGGGTGCGGAACCCGTGAACTCGGGATGAAGACAGAGAGACTTTCCGGCCTCCACCTATGCAGTCGGTGCTGTCCCTGCCACTCGGGCTCCGCTCGGCCCACCCTGAGGGGTCTGCACCTGGCCCCACTTTAACCCCTTCTGAAGGGACAAGGATCGAAACTCTAAGTGTGGCTAAATTCAACTCCCTGTCTCACTTAACAGCAAGAGTTTTAGTCTATAAACTCATTTCCGAGGCGAAACTGGAGGGTTTGCTCCGGCCCTCCCGCAGGTCGTGGGAACCTACACTGGATGGCATAGGCTCCCAGCTGGGCGGCGGTGCTGACGGCGCAGGGCAGCCGGCCCTGGAGGACGTCCTGCTTCACCTGCAGGAAGAACTGATACCTGCAAGAGAAACGGGGACAGTGAGAGGCTCGGTCTCACACCGCTCAGAGCCAGCGTCCGGCCGGGTCACCGCGGGTAACTGCTCGTCCTTTAACGAGGACAGAGGCTGCTGCGGGGACAGGTCTTCGCCAACAGACCGATGGTGCAGTCCTGGGTGTGCTAACATCGGGCTCTCAGGGTGGCAGCCTGCACCCCAGATCTGCTACTCACTACCCTGTGGCCACGGGCTGCTGCTTAACCTCCCAGAGGGCCAGTGGCCCCACCGGCAAAACTGCGGCGGTGACAGCACCTACCTCCACGGGGCGACGTGACGGCGTCGACAGCAGCTGTCCTCGCGCTCACCTCCCCGCTCCCGCCACCAGCACGCAGCACGCGCTCACCGGAACAGACACACGGCAGGGCCCACTCCACTACGTGTGCCACCTATCGGGTCTAAGGTCACGTGCTGGGACAAGACCCAACTGCACCGGTCCCCTCACTGACACCCCACTGTCACCTGAGGCTCCTCACTGCATGCCACCTAGGGGACCCCGGCGTGCTGCCACACTCTGAACACCAACCGCAGTGACCGTTCTGGGTGTCCCATGCGCACTAACGTGGGGAACTCAGTAAATGAGGGAGGTCTGTTATTGTCCCCCACGCAGACCAAGTGACCTGTCCCAGATCGCACTTGGGGTGAGAAGCAGAGCCAGGGCCAGGACCAAGCCACCCGACCCCAGAGCTTCTCAGGCAGGACGCGCCCATACCAGCTGTCCCCCTTCTTACCCAGCCAGCAGGTGGACCCTCCCGGACCCATCACACGCACACACACGCACACACACGCACGCGCACACTTCGGGCTGTCCTTTTATGATGTCCCTTTCTCTGCCAGGTGACTCCATGTCACTGAGAGGGGCAGAAGAAAGCCAAGGACGTGAGCAGTAACACTGCGTGCTGGTGCCAGGTCTGGGCTCTGAGTGCCCCCCGTGGAGCATGGCCGGGCTGTGTGCAGCCACAGCCTGACAGACCTGCCAGTGCTTCCTGTCCCCCCACTCGGGAAAAGGCACTGCCATCCTCAGAAACCTGGGTGCAGTGTGTGACCAGCCGGGCACCACCCTGTCCAGACTTCCAAGCTCACTGGTCACAGGCCTGCCATTCCTGCGTAGCTCCCTTTCCAGCCTCCCGGGAGGTAGAAGGACCCAGCCACTCCTTTGATTAAAAACATCTTGGAAGACTTCATTTGCCCTCAGGATAAAGCCTGAGCTCCTTAAGAAAACTTCTAAGACTTCTGCTCTTCCTGGGACCAACCGCGCGCCCACCGACCAGCGCCACCCTCACCCCAACTTGCTCCCGTTCCCGACGGGCTTAAGGACCGGCCACTCCTGGGCGCTCCCCCGGCCTGATAACGCCTGTGCTCACTCAGAGGACAGCAAGGGACACCAGGACTTGCAGAAAAGCCCGTGAACTGAACAGACGCCTGCTGGAACTACGGCCGCCTGCCAGAAGCCGTGTGTGCTGCACCCTCTGCGAGCGACACTTCCAACCTCCCGAGAATGTGCTTTGTAGGAACTGGGTCACAGGTGCCTTCCTCCTTAAGAGGAGGTAGACAGGCCCCTGGCCGGATGCATAAGTGGAGGGACCGAATCTCACAGGTATTTGCTTCAAAGACAAAGGGAAGGAGAAGAGGAGAGAGAAGCCAAGCCAGGGCAGAGCCAGAGGGTGCCAAGTAGAGAGGACCGAGGACGGCCGCCATCGGTGCCTGCGCGTGACTCAGGCCAGTGCTGCCGAGCTGATGGCTGACTGTGTGAGCACATGCAGACACGCGTGGACGTGAGAAGCCCACGGTGAGCGCCTCTGCTATCCCTAGGAAAAAGACCTTCCTAGGAAGCCAGTTTGTTAGAGATACCAGAGATCTGAAGCCACTATATTAAAACCCACCAAAATCAAAGGCAAACTATTTTTATTTCGTTAGATTTAGTTTATTTTAGTTTGCTACGGGGCACACGCACTTGCCAGAGAGCTGGGGAGCTGGAGGAGGTGAGAAATCACCCCCAGGGGGATGGCCGCTTCGCATTCCCATCCCCTCCACTTTCCTCCTGGATTTTGGGCGCACATGCACATGCACCTGGCGTGATTTTCAAGCTTCTGGGTCCAGGACTTGAACCGCAGGGTCGGCCACGTGGGCCATCCTATCCTCCACGCCACCTGCTAGTCCCAAGCAAACTATTTTTAATTAAGAACCTGAGTAATTTTTACTATAGTAAGCATCTTTCTTGATGCATACCATACACGTTTGTGATAAAAAGATCCTATCTCCCAACATGCTGAAAGGAAGCTGGACAGTCCGAGCCTTTCCTTCCACGTCATTCCGACCGAAGTGGCGGCTGATTCAGTCCTTGTTTAGCTCTACTTTCCTGTTTTGTGTGTTTACCAGGTGAGAGCACTTACCAGACACACACACACACACGCATACACACACACGCACACGGAGCGGACCCACAGCGGGGTGTGGTCGTGCCACAATCCCTTCCCTGTTTCTCTACCTGCTAGAACTGTGGACACACAAGTCCCAGGTGTGTTTCTCAAGCTGCAGGAGCTGGGGCTCCTCTGCCTATGGCCACGTGGGGTGCAGCTCCCCAAACACCAGCCCCACGCCAGCACACTGCTCGCTTACCTAGGTGGGCAGACCCCCAACCTGCCGAGGACAGCCCGGCGTAGGCTTATTGCTAACTCCCTCATTCTCTAAAATGTCAGACGGGGATTCTACTGGGACCCTAGTTATACTGTATTCCAATTAGAAAGAGCTGCTGGTTAATATCTGCTGGGGCCAGTAAGTGGCACAGAAGTTAAGGCACTAGATTCCTACATGGCTGACTGTGGTTCGTGTCCCAGACCTGGTGGCTTGAAAAACCCTGGGCGCATCTGGGTGGGTGCCCCAAATCCTGAGAGGACACAGGAGGAGAAGGGACTGTGATGTAGCCATCCTGCCTGGGGGGTGATTTCTCACTTTTCCCCCTTTCCTTCTCTCTGTCTCTCTCCAGCAAGCACACCTCCAGAAAGCACACGTGCCCTGCAGCAAAAACCTTTAGGGGGAAAAAAAAAAAAAAAAGGTCTATTTAAGGAAATATCCAGAATACATTATGGTACAAAGCAGAGGCTTCTTGTGAGGCAATTCTGGTCACTTTCTCATGCAAATTAACATTGTGGTATATATGCAGGTCTCCTGAGCTCACCTGGACTCTGGAGAAGAAGCCACTGTGCTGAACCCGTCCACACCTGACAGCCCTCACGCCAGGGTCACTCAAGTGCAGGGGAAGCACTTGCCTCGGTTTTCGTTCATCTGACGTCACTGAAAAGAGCTTAGCAGACGGCAAGGGCGGGCGAGCGGCTGAGGGCCACAGACAGTTCAGCCACTACCAGAGCGGGCAAAGCGGGCAGAGACCTCACTGTGCTGGGAGACCGAACAGCCCCATGGGACGTGTGGTTGGAACCACGGCCCTGCGCGCTCAGCTGGAGTGCACCCTCCAAAGACGTGAGGCCTGGAGAGCCAACGAGGCTGGGGCAGCAGCATTCAGACGTCTGGTCCCAGCTGAGTGAGACAGGGTAACACGGGGGTGCATGCACGCACGCACACACACGCGCAGACGCACGCACACACACACAGTAATCAAAAGTAGGCCTATGTTCTTCACTTCACAAAGGGGGGAACACAGCATTTGATACGTGCCTCATTAGACTGGATAGAATTTAAATGTGAGGGACGGGGAAACGCTTAAATAATAACCCAGTACAATGTGGGAAACAGCAGGTATGGCTTCGAAATAGAACGGTAGAGGGAGCATCCCTCAACTGTCAAGAGAAAGGACCAACGGCCACGAAGGGCCCAGGTGGTGGCAGAGCGACAACACAACCATACCCAAACGGGAAGAGTCCGGGTCCATCCTGGGAGACCTAAGGCCATCTGTGACCTATGCCAGGGAGATGCGGTGGATCAGAGCGGGGCGAGGCCATTGGGGGTGCCTGAGTGTGTGTGTGCGCACATGCATCTGTCTGTCTATCAGTCTCTCATAGAAGAAAAAATAATAGTAATAATAACCCTGACTGGGGCTAGCAGGTGGCATGTGGTTAAGGGGCTGGACTCCCACATGGTCGACTACGGTTTGAGTCCCGGACCCAGTTGTTTAAAAATCACACTGGGCACGTGTGCATGTGTGCCCCAAATCCCAAGAGAATGGAGGAGAAGGGACTGCAGCATGGCCATCTCCCCTGAGGGTGATTTCTCCCGTTCTCTGTCTCTCGGTCTCTCTCTCCAGCGAGTGCATAAACCCTATGGCAAAAACATAAAGAAAAAAAATTAGAACCCTGATGAAGGTGGGAACAAATAGGAATAATACCATTTTACACATTATAGTCTTTTCAAGTTTACCAGCTCCTTTGTATCCAGGACGGGATGCGATCCTCACCTCAACTAGACAAGGCCCATCGTCCTCCTGAATGAAGGCGACAGGGACTCAGGGCGTCAGCCAGGACTGAAGGTCACTCACTAGCAAAGAGGCTGGACAAGCTAACTTCACAGGGAAGGCTCCGGCTACAGAGCCGTAACGGTAACTGGTGGCCCTCAGGTCAATCTCCAGCACAATGCCAAAGTGTTCGAGAACAGACCACAAGGCAAGCCCCTGCTTTCGGAAGTCAGAAAGTGTTTATCACTAACCAGTCATTTAGAACAGCTCCTTTTTTTAGAATTTGATGTTAGATCTTTAAAACTTCAGAGCGGCGCCGATGACATTGCGGACTGGGCTGTGAGCAGGGCAGTCCGGGGTGAGTCTCTGGGTGGAAGGAAACGGCGCCTCTCCGCGGTCACCAGTCCCTCACCGAGGCACCCCGCCACGCGGCGCCCCAGACAGTCACTGAACGGAGGGGCAGTGAACGATGAAGCGAACTGTCCTGACACGAACTCTAGAAACGCGGGTGAGGGGCAACAGTATTTCTACGGGTCACAGTTAACAAACTCCCGCACCGGA